GGGCAGGGGTGGGGGGGGCGCGCGAAACTTGCCAGGCACCAGGCGTGACCACACAGCATCATCGCACCGCCGAGGCAGTACGATAGGCATTAGGGGCGAGTCAAAGCGGCGTGGGTGCAACCGCAGGAGCGGACCGCGGCGTGGACGGCACACCCGTTGAGCTGCGGCGCCGCATGGAGCAGAGCCCCCGGCAGCCGCTGCGGCGGCAATGGCGGCGGGCTCGTGTGCTGGCGCCCCACCTGTGCGGTGAGCTCCACCTCCCTCAAGGCCAGCAGCCGCCCCGACCGCGTCGCCGCCACCACCTGCCCGCCGACGCACAGCACCTGCGCCACGCCGCCGGGACCCAGCGGGAAGCTGCCCGCCACGAGCTTGTTCCTCACGTCCAGGATGTGCAGGGTGCTGCCGCCCCCGCCGCCGCCCCCGCTGCCGCCGCCGCCGCCCCCGACCGGCTCCAGGAGAGAGGAGGCGCCGCCGCCCGCGCCGCCCGCGCCGCCGGCGCCGCCCGAGGCGCCGCCGTCGGCGGTGACGAGGATCAGGTACCGCTGGAATACGGAGAGCCACTGCTTGGGGCCTAGCGAAGTGGGGATCCGGGGGTGATGCAGGACTGGGCTTGCAATTACCGGAAAGGCATCTGGACAGACCAGCGAACCTCCTTCCAAAGTCTGAGGACATCGAAGTTGTGCGTCGGCCAGCAGAAAGGCGGAACCTCTCCGCTCCCCTGGATGGCCCGAGGCCGCGCGCGGGGCTGGCGCACCCTTCCCTGGGTTTTGGCTGCCCAGGCGCCCCCGGCGCACCGTCAAACACGGTGCACCCGGCGCGCGTGTCTGCCGTGTAGTCATACAGCGCGTCCTCCCGCGCCACCACCAGCAGCGGCCCACGCGCCACCGCGCACGCGCCGTTGGCGACGCCGGCCTGGTCCAGAATATTCTTGCTGCCGTCCGCCACGTTGAACGCCAGCGTCTGCGACTCGGTCGCCGCGAAGAGCCACAGCGACTCGCGCTCGCGCTCGGCCGCGGCGGCTGCGGCGGCCGCGGCGAGCGCCTTGGACTGGACCGCGGCGGCGGCGGCGGAGGGGTCTTCGTGTGGAGAGGCGGCCCGGTGGAAGAGGGAGTTGTTGGGCGCCGTGGGGCCGCCGGCGGGGGTCGCTGCGGCTGCGGCGGCGGCGCCGCTGGGGGGCGGGAAGAAGAGGGCGGTGACGGCCCAGAGGTCCCCGCGCTCGGGGCGGGCGCTGAGCTTGGCGGTGTGGTGGAGCTTGGCGCCTTTTGAGAGGTCACCCTTTGGAATGGAGAGCGGCGGAGTTGGGGGAGAGGTGTTTTGGGGAGGGTGGCTACCGAGGGGTGGGGGAGAGTGGGGGCACCAGGCGGCGGTGCGGCGCGTTAAGGGAGGTCCGGCGCCTTGTAAGGGGGTGTGCAGTTGCTGCAGGGGCACCCGGCTAGCAGGAAGCCCGGCGGACACAGGGTGTTCGGCCCTCACCCGCCACAAGCCGACCGGTAATGCCTCCTCACGCATGCAAAGCATGTGTGTGCCCATGCACACCAGCGCACACCTGAAACAGGTACACCATGCCGCTGCCCAGCCCCACCGCCACCGTCAGCGCCGGCGCCGCCGCGTCCGTCACCGCCAGCGCCGTCGGCTCTGCCTCCGGGTACTTCGAATTGAACACCTTCTGGACCCGCAGCGGCGCCAGCGCCACCGTCGCCGCCGCGGGCGCCGCGGGCGGGGACGCGGGCGCGCCGGGTGCGGCGGGGCCGGCGGTGGCGGTGGCGGCGGCTGTTGCTGCGGGGGAGGGCGGGGGCGGCTTGAGGGCCGCCAGCTTCGAGCGCTCCCAAACCTTGATGGCCGCGGTGGAGGCGCCGGGCTCCTCCACGCCGACAGCCACCAGGTACTGGTTCTGCCTCACCTGCTTGGATCGAGCATATTTTGAGGGGATGTTGAGATGGATTTTGTTGTTGTGTGTGTAGGGCGGGATCTTGAGGCGGCGGCTTGGAAGGGTGTGATGTTTTTGGTTGTTCCTGAAATACACTATGTTGTGGGTCAGATATAAGGTTGTCGAGGGCTGTTGAGGCTGTCGAGGTGGCTGATGGTTCAGGCTGTTAAAATTGTTGAGGCTGTCGTTTATGAGGTCCGTGGAGGCCGAGGCAGCTGGTTCATCAAGACCATGACGCTGCTGTACAATGCAATTTCATGCCGCTGCCTGGTTGATTACTGCAGGAACCTACGCCCCCCTCCTCGCAGACCACGCAGAGGCAGAGAGGCGCACACCCAGGCGCTTGTGCCCACGCACGCGGCCGCGGGCCCACCTCTGCCCACGCGAGATGCAGCAGCTTGTGGCCGTATGCCGGGACTACCGCCACCGCCTGCAGGCCCTCATCTAGAACGTGCAGTGCGCCGTCACACCCGACAAACACGCGCCCGCCACCGGCGACGGCGCAGGCGGCATCGGCCGGGAAGCCGTGGCCGGGCACGTCGTGCTGGCCGAAGAAGCTGAATCGCTTGAAGGCAAAGCTCATGGCTGCTGCGCCTGGCGGGGGAGGAAGGGGGGTGGGAGCATGGCCTGCGAAAGCGCCCGCGCAAGTGGGCAGCTGCAGGGCACGGGAGACAGGCTCCATCCCTTGCATCAAGGTTATACGGCCATGTTTGATCCACTGGCTACTTGGCCTTGTCCACACCTCAACGAGCGCACGATAGCTGCTGAACTATCGCCGCATGCTGTGCGCCACGCCTGTTGTGTGCAGAGTGCAGCACACGGGTAAAGCAGAAGCGCCTCCTCTGCGCTTCAGCACTGCTGACAAAGATTGCCAGGTAATGTAAGTATAGATCAGAATGTGCTTGTTGCAGCTGGTTCTCCGAACGAAGCTGTTTATTGTCTTGCTGTGTAGATCGGCGACAGATCATCAGAAGCGTATCTGCAAGGCAGTTAGTGAAATTATGCATAATATGCTACCGCATTCATACACCAGGGGCAAGCAGAGGGGTGACCTGCAGCACCTGGTGACAAGAGAAAGGGAGGACAACTGCAACAGCAACGCGCTTCACTGCACTGGATTCTATGATACAATACAACCGGTCGTTGGTTTGTGTGACACACCTGTTCGTGGGCAGGGTGCCGTGCATTCAGATCTCCTCGCCCGTTCTGGGGTTGCAGACGTCGTGGCTAGGAGCGCGGCGAGCGCCAGGCTAGTGCAATAAGCTCAGGTATGACATCTGGCGGGGTCGGACAGGCGGGTCGGCAACGGGTTTTGGCACGCGGCAGCAGCAGCAGCAGCAGCAGCATCTTGTGTGCAGTGGTGCAGCGCAGGCAACTCGTTACTGCAGCCCTGGCAGTTGAGCTCTTGATGAATGCGCAGCACTCAGCGCACCAGCCCTGTGGCATGGCAGCCGGTGGCATCGCTGCTGCGAGCACAGCATGCCCTGGCGCTGCTGCGCGCCCCACGAGCACTTGCACGCACGCTTGCGCCCGCCCGCGCGCAGAGCAGCATGGCGACCAGCACGGTGGGGCGCCTGGCGGAGAAGTTCTACTATGACTTCTCCCTCCACAAGCGGTTCCTCCCCAACATGGCGTACAACAAATACGTCGCCCTGTGAGTGGACGAGTCACTCCTGGGCTCCTGCATTGGCGACTGCTGGGTCGGAAGCCGGCGGACGGGCAGGAGGCGAGCGCGGGCCAGGTCGTCAGGCAGCAGGGCCTGCAGCTGGGCCGACGGACTTTTGCAGGCAATGCAGGGCAGCCGGACGGGCAGCGGAGAGCAGCCGCGGCAATAATCGGGCGTTCGTTGGGCAGCAGACTCTGCAACGGGGGCAGCAATAAAATTCTGGCCTGCCCAGCCGGCGACGTTCACCACCCCCGCCCTGGATTGTCGCCTGCGCCCCCTCGACTCCCCAGGCGCCACAACCTGCTGATCACGGGCGGCTTCTTTTTCATCCTGAGCGTGCCGTTCCCGTTCGTGCCGGCATTCCCAACCATGGGTGCGCCCCTCCGCGCACCCGCAATGCATTCATCGCCTCGACAGCATTGCCTGCGCCGGTCGTGTCCGCTGTGCGATCTCTGGGGCCGGCGGTAGAGCGCTGCCCTATGCGCGGCCGCCCCGGGGAGGCGCTGAGTGCAGCGCCATGCCGCACAAGACTGGGCGGTAGGGTGCAGAGCCACCAGGCTCGCTCGTTTGATGTTTGCCGTTCCACCACCTTGCCTGTTGCTGATTATTCCACCCCCTGCACGCCTGCACCCCAATGCCCTCGCCTCCACAGGCCTGTGCCCCAAGGGTGAGTGCACCCCGCAGCGCTCGGCGCGCCGGCCGCGCCGCATCGCAGGCGCCCCCATCCGGGCATCTCAGCCCCCCCCGCGCAGCCGCGGCCCGGCCCCGCATCCCCGCCTCCGTCGTCCCCAAACCCTCACGCCCACAAATTAACGATGCCGCGCCGACCCCCGTCCGGCGCCCCTGAACTGCAGGCTGGGAGGGTAGCTTTGTGTGCGAGCCAGACAAGCACAAGGCCCTCGACATGTACAAGGCATACAGGGCCGGCAAGAAGTACGAGGAGCCGGCCGCCGCACCCGCGCACCACTAATGCGCCCGGCCGCCAGCCAGCCCGCCAGCATCACAGCCGCGGCGGGCGGGGGCGGATGGGCCGCTGCTTATCTTAGGGGGTTGGTCGCCCCGCCGTCTGCGCTGGGCGTTGCCGAGGAGGGCTGTCCGCACAGATTCACAGATTTGCTGGCGGTTGTTGTGGCGTTGCAGCGGCCAGCCCTCTTTGGCAGCGGCATGGAAGCTTGACGATTGCTTGGTGATGGTGATTGGTTTTGTGGTAAGGAGAAACGCCCGGCTGCGCCCATGGTGAAGGGGAATCGTCCAGAGGGCGGCAGGGGTTGCACAGCACAGTGCACACGAAATCAGAAAGGCAGGGGCAGAGTGAGGCACAAAGAGGCTCAAGGTAACTCAGGCAAGAAGCTTAACCGACACAGCTCGTTAGGGGCTCAGGCACGTGGGTAGTCAGGCGCACGGGTGAGTATGCCGCAGAAAGGGTAAGCGGCATCGCGTGTGCACTTCCTGCCCGCCCGGAAACAGATGGGTCCAGCCCAGGCGGGCAGAGGGAATGGCGCGCCTGGGCTCAAGTGTCCCAAATACCGCGCATCTTCCCAGCTGCCAATGCTCTAGCGTTGATGCTCCCTGCTGGTGGCGCCGACACATGAGCAGCCCCTCCTGTGTAGCAGTGGCAGCTGGGGCGGCAGCACTAAAGCAGCTCCTTGCGGACCAAATCGAATCAGGAGCAGCGGCGCGCGGAGACAAAATGAAGACGGGCACTGCTGCGGCCGCAAGCGCCCTACCCTGCGCCAACCCTTGTGATGCAGCTGACACTGCTTAGATGCCTAGCAAGAAAATCACGTGCCGCATGGATTAGGTGAAGGGGTTCTTGATCTGGTCATAAGTGATGAGGTGCTTGCCCTTCATCAGGCTCAGCACAAAGTCTGCGAGCGCGGCGAGGGTCAAACACCAGTCAATCGCAGGGTACAGGCTGTCGCCCTGACACAGAAGCAGGCCCTGCTTGCAAAGCCTGGTGAATCGGGCCGCTTGACTACATGCGCCAGGTGTGATGTGGTTCACATGCTGGGCTGCCCCTCCCCAAGCTAGCAAGCCAGGTGAAAAGCTTGGCGCTCACCCGGGTTGGCGCGCAGCATGGCAGGAACGTCCATCTTTGGGAGCAGGCGCTTTGCCTCCTGGAAAAGGCAGCAGGAGCATGGGTGCACGTGCGGTGTAGGCAAGCCAGGCATCACGCGATGGTATGGCAGCAATGAGCTGTTTTCAGCACTGCCATCACAGCCGAGGAGCGCAACAGGCGCCTTGACGATGCACCCCGCGCCAAACACCGCGCGCAAGCGGCTCTGCGAATGGCCCCTGCCGGTGGTGTCCAGCTCCCAGCGCGCGCATGTATGCCACGCAAAACACCAACCGAAAAGCGCAACATGCCGCACCAGCAGCGCCCCTTCAAAGTCGTCGACGTCCAAAACAGCCGGGAACGCCTCTGCGAAACGGTCCACGTCAATGCCCGGCACCAGCTGCCCCAGCCGCTCGGCGGCGCGCTCCAAGTCGGGCAGCTGCTCGGGTTCCAGCAGTAGGTCCAGGCGATTGCCGACCATAGCGCCCGCGTCTGCCTGAGGCGGTGATGCGGCAACAGGAGTCTTGAAAGTGGCAGTACATGCGCCTCCAATCTGGCAAGTCAAGACAATAGCTACACAATATGGAACCCCTGAACTGCAGTGAACTGCAGCATTGTGCGCAGCTGCTTCTCGTCCCAAGCCCTCGCTCCGCAGACGGCTGCGTGCGCACCCTTGGGAAGGCCGCCTTGATGCGCAGCAGCAGCCCCGCAATTTCCCGCGTGTTTGCGGCCAGCTTGACCACCATGTCGGCCGGCGCCTGCCCCAGGCGGGACCTGAGGTCTGGCAGCAGGCATACCACCTCCTCCAGCTGCTGCTCCAGCTCCGCTTCGCTGACCCCCAGCTGCTCCGAGGCGACGCGCTGCCGTGCGGCGGGGTTGGCGGGTCGTGGTGGTTGTGGCCGTGCGTTGCGGCGGCGATGAGCGAGGGGATGGTGAGGGAGGGCAGGGAGGCAACAGGGGATTTCATCGCTTTCAGGGATTGGCAGATTGTGGGGCCGCAGCGCATCTCTGCTGGCAATCAACAGTTTCTGCCCCCTTGGCTGTTCTGTGCGGCCCTGGGAGCTTTGAGGGGCCTGTTTCCGTTGTGCTGGCTTGCTGTTCGCTGCCGACTGCATTAGCAATACCAACGTCATCGCCGCAGGGTGTGATGGCTCACCCGTATGAGCCGCAGCTTGAGGTCGTCATTCCACACCATATTGCGCTCGCTCATCTGCCACCCCACCGCCCACGGCGCCTGGGCGGACGGCGTGCGCGACGTGATGTGGGCATCAGGTCAGGGACTTGCTTGCAATTGCGAGGGTGAAGGGGCACGCAGCATGACTTTGAGTGTCAAGTTGCATCTTCACAGCCAGCGCCCCTATGCGAGTGGGGTATTGCGTCCTGGGTCCACCAGACCCACCTGCAGGTTGCTGCCGCTGCCGTCCCAGCTGCTGATGCTTCTGCTCCCACTGGTGCTGACGTCGCTGTCCGCCGATTCCAACGCGGTGAAGATGTGCTCAATTGTCGCCTTTTGCTGTCGCTCTCCGATGCCCGCGTTGTAGGGGTACGCCTTGGCCCCTGGGGATGGGGACGCCTCGGCCTGTTTGCTGCCATCCCGCCCTTGCTGCGCCGCCCGGACGACCATTGTTCCCACAGCTGCTCGTGAATGGTGCGGCAAGCCGGTTGCCTGCTGGCGGGACATCCTACAGGGGTACAATGGGACGCTTTTACTCGTGGCGATTGGGGCCTGGCATCAAGGCAGCGTGGCGCAGCGTGCAGCGCGCGGCGCAGGAACAGCGCGACTCCAACGGCGCAATCCATGTGCGCTCGCACGGCGCCTTCTAGTCGTAGCTGCAGGCACGATGAGCGCTTACCTTGAAATCTTCATAGCGCCCGCCTGCAGCTCCAGCGACTCGTCACTGGCAGGATGCTCACGCAGCTCGAAGCTCCGCGGCGAGGTCGTTGTCAGCGCTTTCTTCCCGGGCGAAGCAAATCTAGCCAATTGTACGTACGCAGAGCTGTTATGAGCGGCAGGCAGGATGATGCGTTGCTTTGGATGACACCATCTGAGACCAGCTGACCGGCTGACCAGGATCGGCCTGCGTCGTCAAATGGTTGCGAATGCGGCCATACACCCGCAATGTAGCTCGGTGATGGCAGCAGGGTACAAATCCATCTTGTCGTATGCCCCTCTCCAAATAGTGGCAGTGGTGACTGATTGACCAGAGTCAACTCTTGCATACGGTAATGGGGTGGCGCACAAATGCTGGGCGCGCAACCAGAAACAGCGTCGCCCCACCTGGCATCAGCCCAAATTCTCAGTGCTCCCGGATGCAGACACATGATTTTACACATTATCCTCCTGAAGTGGATCAATATTGAGTTGTTGTCCGACGAACAAAGGCGGCGGCCTGCAAAATCAGCAGGTGACGAGGAGGAGGGGTGGGATGATTGCACTCTTGTGGGTGGTCGCTAGCGCTCGATGATGATATGTTAAAGGGCACATAAGATGACTCTGTGGAGACTGGAGAAATGACATGTCACTGCCCAGAAAGGAAGTAGGCACGTCAAAAGCTGTGAAATGCGCGTGCTCATCCACGGCCAGGCGTTCAAAGGACCGCCACACCACAGACAGTTGGCATATGCATCCGATGGGGGGAGGGGAGTCTGCCTAATGCAGGGTCGGTTCCTAAGCAAGCGATGATTGGACAAAATACTGCGCATACACGTGTATCCATCAATCCAGTTACGAATTGTGGATCAAATTGCATGCACCAGGAGGGCCAGTCATTCAGGGTTCAGGGGCGTTATTGAATGAGTTGCCGGTCCACGGCATGCGCTCTAGCAATCCACCCAGCAAATGTGAAGCATTCAAATTGCAGAACGAGCACTTCCTGGTGGCCGCACAGGGCGCTGCAGCTGCACGATGCATCGGGTTTCGTTGAAGCGCAACACGAATGGCATCAGCACCGTGGTGTGAGCGTGGCAGTCAGCGTTTAGGCAGACTGCCAGTCCTGCATGCCCTGGCTGTCAAGGGACATGATGATGCCTGACGAGGCAAGGCGGAGGGCGCGCTTGGAACACTCAAATGCAATAAAAGGAAGACACGCCACATACATGACTTGGAAACAGCAAGTGGTCTGAATGTGCATCTCCACACCCTTGCAGGAACACGTGACATCACGATGCATCATTTGGCTGTACAACGCGCTTGGGACCCTGGGGTGCTGGCGCAAAGAAAAAGCGCGCAGGGGCGAAGAAAACTCCACATGTGAAATTCGCCACCCATGCCAATTATTCCATCAGTCCAACATGGCCTTGCCGAACCCAAAGGCGCGCTGCACACGCACAATGGGCGAGCTCGGGCGGCTGCCGCGGTCCGGGCTCTTGCCCGCCGCCGCCGCCGCCGCCGCCTTGAGGGGCGAGCCGCCCGCGGCCGCCGCCGGGCTGCCGGGCGCCGCCTTGCGCGGCGAGCCGCACGCGCGGCCCGTCATCACCAGCGACACGACGGCCGCCGTGCTCTTCTTGTAGTCCCGGTCGATCACGCTGTCCGCCAGCTCGAGGTTGACAGGCAGCTCCTGGCCCTGGTCGGCCGGGCCGCCCGCCTTGTCGCCGCCCCCGCCGGACGCCACGAAGCCGCGCCGCTTCGTCGGGGAGGGCAGCAGCAGTGGCGCGCCGTCCGGCGCCTCCAGCGCCATCAGCTCCTTGGACAGGTCCCCGTAGAGCCGCCTCAGCGCCGCGCGCACCGCCTCCATGGGCGCGACCACCCGCGCGCCCGCGGGGGTGCCGGGCGCCGCGGCGGGCTGCTGCTCGGGGGCCGCCGCCGCGCCCGCCGGCTCATTGAGGGCCTCCAGCGCGGTGAGGACGCACATGGCCGCCTAGTGTGCAGGGTTGGCAAACGTTGGAGAATAGAAGGTATCCTGTTGGTGCAGAGTCCAGCATTCCTTTTGGCCCCAGCACAACAGCTCGCACGTCTCATTCAAGCTGGTGGCTGGACAGCGTGCGTGCCAGCTCCCCATATGTGGCGTAGCCCTGCAACGCAAAACCCCGAAAACTTGCACCATCCAACGCCCTGCTGGCCCGGCTTTGAATCGTCCTAATGCCACACCTGGTTGGCCACCTCCGCCACCTTCTTCACATGGGCCTCGTGCGTGATGACGCCGCCCTGGGTCGGGATCATGGACAACGGGAGTTTGGGAAGGAGTGCTTAAACTACACAGTGGGTATTGAGATGATAACCGCTAAGATGTCAAAAGCAAGGCAGACCGCATGCCGCAGTGTGGCCAGGCTGCATGCATCCTAGTGACCTGCCAGCACAACCATGCTTGACTTGCATGCCATGGGGCAAAGCTGCTCAGCAAGGGGGCTGTACATGCAGCACCCCGCGCCATGCGGGCCCACATTAGACCAGCACGCTCACCGAGGGGGAGGCCTGGGCCAGGTGCTCGTTGGCCGCCTGCAGCTCCTCCAGCTGCTTGCGCAGCCCCTGTTAGGGTTGTGTGCAAGCGGATGGGTGTGCATGAGTGGGTGGGTCAAGGGGATGCGGGCCTGAGAACGCGCCTTCTTGGCTTTATTGCGATATATAGCAGAGCGGTGCCGACAACCTCAGGCAGTCTGCAATTTTGCAGGTAGCGGAAGATTTAATGTTTTGATGTCAACATGCTCCCAACATGCTGCCATGCTTGCCTGCGTGGTGATGGACAGCCTCTGGTACTCCTGCTTCGCCTCGGCTTCCGACGCGATGGCCTGGAAGGCAGGGCACATGCAGCGAAATTTGGGGGTTGCTGACCAAGACGAGACCGCGGCAGACGCGCACCTGGACCTGCCTTCCGGGCGGCTTGATGGCAGGGTGAAGCCCTTTCCGGCGTGCCTGCATGCCCACCTGCGCCGTAGTGGTCTCGAGCTTGACCATGCGGCTGCGCATGTCGGCGGCGTCGGACTCCATGTTGGCCAGGGTCTGGTTGTAGACGGCGCCAGTCAGGTTGACCTCCTCCTGCACACCGCCGATATGATTGCATGTGGTAGACATGGGAAGTGTGATCATGGCGATGCTTGCCAGATTAGGGGAACTGCGCCTTGATTTGCACATCACAAGGCAAACCAAGCTGCTGGCAGTCCCCTGCTGGTTGCAGCGGCGCTGCCAGCGTCCGGGGCGCACCTGCGCAGCAGAGGCGGCCTGCAGCTCAATGACGCGGCTGTGCAGGGAGTCCCTCTCTGTGCGCAGGTCGGCGATGACCTGCTCCTTGTTGCTGTCCTGCATGTCAGGGGGGGTGGGGTGGGGGGCATGTGATGCATGGCAGCACTGCCGTTGATGAAATCTGCTCAACACGTTGGACGGGGGCGCCAAATTTTTCAAGGAAGCGCTGCTGCCGACAGGCCTACTGCCCATGCGAGCGCCTGCCAGCAGCGTGGGCCAGGTGGTCTGCCGCGCCAGCCGCCCAGCCCACCTGCACCGCGGCGGCCTCCAGCTCCGCGATGCGGCCCCTCAGCAGGCCGATCTCCTCGTCCTTGGCGGCGAGCTGCAGCCCCTTGCCCTCCAGCTCCTGCGTGAGGTAGTCCACCTGAGGGGGTGCATACCGGCGGGGCGCGCAAAACCATGATGCCTGCCCTGCACGTGCTGCACATTTCACACCGCATGGCATGCGGCTTGCCCGCCGGCTGGCCGGAAAGGTCTCGACTCGACATTAACGGCGACTGCGCCAACATGCACGTGCAAAGCAGTTGAAACGGTCCCCATGCTGGCACCTTGTGCGAATTTGTTGAATGCACGCACCGTGCCGACGCGCATGTTGAAGCCGCTCTGCAGGTCGGCATTGTGGCCGCGAAGGGTGTTGACCAGCTCTGCCTCCTTGTCGGCGAGGGCCTTGCGCGTGAAATCCAGCTTCTCCTCCTTCTTGCGCAGCTGCTCCTGCAGGGCCGAGGTCTGAGGTTTTGGCGATTTCGGAGGGTGGTGAAGAGCGCCGGCGCTTTATCTTGTGTCCGCAGCACAGGTGATGTCAGTGCGCACGTGCGCATGCATGGCGCTGAGCATGCATGGCCATGACATGACGTTCCCATAAACGCCCACCTCAGCCTTCTTTGCACGCAGGGCCTCCTGTGTGGTGGTGCGTGGGGAGCACCATCATGAGCCGATGCTGCAGGTGTCAACAACGCATGACACAAGCAACCTTCTCACCTTGTGAGCTTTGTTCATCTGCTCCAGCTGGTCCTTGAGCATGGCGACATGGCGAGCATACTGCAAGGCGAGCGCAGAAAGCACATATGGTTGAGTGGTGCGTGCCGCGTGCGAAATGGCGTGTCCATTTGTCGGCGCAGGTGTGCGTCGAAGCTCAAGCAGTCACGAGCGCCGCCAGGCATGCTTGATGTGACTGCCACAATCATAACTGGGATCAAGCAAGCTAGACGCAGCACACATACAGTCAGCACGCTGCGAAAACTTGGGTGAGTGCTGTCCCGACCCAAGCACCCACCTTGTGAACCTCGCCGGCGGTGGAAAGGATTCCGAGCAGAGTCCATGGCTTGGAGGGCTCAAGGCGTGCCATGGATCGTGAGAGCGCGGCGATCTGGGTGTGTGACACACCGTGTGTCACAGGCGCTTTGTGTTTGATAACCTAAGCTGTACGAGACGATGATTGAACGATTTTCAGCTGATATGACTGGCCTGGACAAGCAACAAGGCTTTACACGACTGCCTGTGCGACCACTCTGCTGCTTGGCCTGCCGCTCGAGCAGGTTCAAATCGGAAGCGTTGGCGCCAACACGGGGAGTGCATGTTGAGAGGCGGCGTGCCCAGCTTAAACTTGAGACAAGCCGCCATGCAGTTCATGAAAATTGAGAGAGAACTGGTGCAATGCGATGATGCAGATCACGCGTGCTCATCATGCTGCTCAGCATGTGGCGCTGAGACAAGATGTGTGCGCAGAGCGCGGTGGGGTGGAGTGCATGCGGCAGCATGCAGCGGCTTGACAGACGGCGTTGTAGATGTGCTTTGACGAGTGTTGTGACCACTCTGAGAACGAGCACTTCATTGCTGTTGTTGCCAGGCCATAAAGCCTGTCAATCACACCGCACTGCTGCTGGCCGCATTGCCTCTTGATTAGATTACACTACTGTATGATGGTCTTCCAGTTGGAAAGCAAGCCAGTTGTGTTGATATTGCACACAGCAGAACCTTTTATTGCTTAATCAACCCAAGAGTACAAGGTTTTTCTCAGAACGTCTGCAGGCACCAGTGCAAAAACCACATGTCTTGCTTGTGCATGGAATCCCCCAGTCACGCTGCCTCACATATCACGTCTACTGAACCGCCTGCATGTACTCGCGGCCCATGGCCGCCAGCGCCCTCAGGTCGGGCAGCGACAGACGGCGTGCCTCTGCCTGCGGCCAACTCACGCCTGCAAAGAAGGGATGCGCCATCACCTGCCTGATGGTGAAGCGCTTTGACGGGCGCTTCACAAGCATGCCGCGCTGCAGCAGGTCGGCCAGTGCCGTAGGAACGTAGGTGGGGAGCTGCAAAGGCTTCCCAGCATGGGCCGCCTTCACCACCCTCAGCACCTCGTCAACTGGCAGTGAGAGCACCAGCCAAGTCACTGCCAGCGCCCACACGTCCACCGGGCGGCTGTCGCAGGGGAAGCCAAGCCTCTCTGCTATGTTGGCAATTGCAACACGCAGGGCATGGAGCATCTTGCCCAACCGTGTCAGCTTGCACCGCTGCTCCGGGGCGTGGAAGAACCACGTGCCGGCGCCAGAGAGCGCGTGGTGCGACGCATCGTCAGAAACGCCCAGGTCGCCCATGCACAGGTGACCGTCGGCGGCGACAAGGAAGTTGGCAGGCTTCACGTCCTTGTGCACGATGGCCGCATCGTGGAGGGCCGCCACTGCGACACAGCTCTCGGCCGCCACAGGGAGGAACTCTGCCGGCGACAGGCGGTCCTCCGGCGGCGCCTGCTGCGGAGCACAGCAGGCTACAGGTGCCGCCGCCGACGCCGACGCCGACGCACTTTCTTGCTCTACCATCAGAAGCGGTCCCATTAAGTGCGTCATTGATGGGAGCTGTGCTGCTTGCGCGCGCGCCGTAGTGCCGGCGAGCAGCGCCTGCTCCAGGTCCCCTGCTGCCAGGGGGAAGATGCAGTAGTCTGCTGTGCGTGTGTGCACCGGGGCCAGGGACGTCTGGACGAACGGGGTGCGCACAGTGTCGCTCCATTGCTCCTCTCGAAAGGAGCACTGCAGTTTCTTGACAGCGTAAGGAATGCCGTCCACCTCCACGCGCCGCACCTCGCCCTCGCCGCCCTTTCCGAGAAGTGTGCCGCTTTCAAACACGGCGTTCATCCCCCCCTTGTCTTCTATTTGCATGCACAACTTGTATGCTTTGCGCCAATCACGGCGTGGGCTGTCTTTTTTCTGTCCTGTTATACTGATGCTGTGGCACGTCGACTCAACCGTGAGTGTGCCGGCGCTGTCGCCGCTGCAAGCGGCGCACGCAGGCACCTCCGCGAGTTTGGTGTGCCTTGTGGCAGCTCCGCACATGGGGCTGGTGGCTGTCGCCGTCTGGACCAGAGGTTTGGCAGCCGGCGGGGCGCCGGCGCTGTCGGCACTGCATGGAGAACGCGGCAAAATTGTTGAGCGGCCTGTGCTGCACGCCGAATTGGTGGTCGCCCTGTGGCCACCAACAGTTGCAGGCCTCTTGCTGAATAGGCGGCGAAGGATGCTATTGACTTGAGTGCCGGCGGCGCACCCGCTTGCACAGCCGCCGCCGCCTGATGAGCCGCTGGTTGCAGCAGGCTTTGGGCCGGCGTTGCCAGCGACGCTAGTGCCTGCAGAGGCGGCGGCCGTGGTGGCTGATTTCATACCCGCTCCGCGCTGCCGCTGGGCGTCTGATGAGGGCTTCAGCAAGCCCATAAGCGCCTGGCATACCTTGCTGGCCTGCTTGTTCAGGGCTGGGGCCGCAGCTGCTGGGGCCGCTCCCTTGCTATGTGGTCTCGGCGATGCGGCACGCCCATCGCTTGGGGCTAGCGCCTCCGCCCTGCAGCTGTTGTTGATTGGGACGACATCCTGCGGCTTGGAGTCCTGAACAGTGTCGGCTGGTGTGGGGATGGCGTCAGGGATGTTTCGTATCTTGGCTGTTGTGGACTTCAAGGTGGGGCCATCCCTGGCGCTCCCGACCTTGATCTCGACGTTGCAGTCGTCCGAAGAGCTGCTGGTGAGGTTATCGGCCACCGAATGCTCGCTCACGCTGGCAGTGTGGCGGCTGTCGTGGGTGTCTATGCAGGTGCTGCTGCTGCCGCCGCTGCTCCTGGCGGTGCCGCTGGCTCTGTTCTGTGTTACGTCTGCGCCAGCCGCGCGGCTGGCGGGTACAGGGGCCTTGGGCTCGGCAAGGTCGGGCTTGGTGGCAACAGGCGGTGGTGAGGGCTTGTTGCGCCGCGCGGCCAGCCGGTCCCTGAGCACCTCATGGAGCAACCTTGGGCGCGAGCCCCCGGACACTGCAGATGTGTGACTGCGAACGCAATGGGAGAAACGACATGGCAGGGTTCAGGACGTGAGGTGGTTGTACGTTGACGGCCACACGGTTGGGCAGGGATCCCTTTCCGACCGGGAAATCCTGCTCGTACTGCCGCGTCCACACACCTGCGCTTGCTCAACCCATGGTAAGCACACAGACTGGCCCCAAGTCTTGCCCACCTGCTCAAGGAGCCAGCACTGCCAACTGGCTGCTGCTCTGCATCGCCCGGGCGCCGGCGCTCTCCGCGCGCTGCAGGTCCCGCACGGTCGTGCCCCAATGTCATGGAGCTCCTGAGTGGATAGGAGGCGTGTTTTAGGATTAATCGTCTCTGATCTAAGCATGGGTATGCATGCAGCATGCCCTCCAGCTCACGGACGCCGGATGTGCGAACTTGCGCGCGGGGGACCACCCTCAGCGCACCTGTGACCTCCTTGAAGACTTTGAGAGGAACCCGTATCTCTTACATCCATCGTTTCCAGTGTCCGCAGGGTCGCATGAGCCGCGAGAGAAAACCTGAGAGTGCAAACTGTGGCACGGGGTCGGGGGTTGCTACGTATTGACGTGATCCGAGAAACAACTCATAGATGAATTGTAATGTCGCGTGGCGAATCAGCCAGAAGGCTGCGATAGGACATGGGAGCAAGTAGGCTGGAAGCTGCAAGGACCTGCCCGTCGGCTCGGCCGGCATCGTGCTCTCCGTGACACGCAAGCAGTCTGTGGGGGCACGCCAAACATGCTGCAGTAAGGATGTGCATGGAAAATAAGCGCGATCCTGTGACACCATTGGGCAGCGTGTTTGTGCACGTCCTTGATGTCCTCACTTCTTGAAACCGGTGGATGTCCCTGAACTGGTTCTGCAGGTAGACAACACGCTTGAGCCCACAACTCAACCATGTTTTTCATTTCGAAAGGTGGCTTGAAGCTCAGCAGGCTATCCTGCGTGCAAGACTGCCTTGCTGATTACCATCCCAGGGCATGTGGAGTTCTTGCAGCAACACTACTGGAAGCAAGCATCGTGCGAGCGGGTAAGATACATGCCACCGGAAGAGTTATTGTGCAGGGGCAAGCACCGCCGTTACTGGCAATCAGGGCGTGCATCAAGTCGAGGCACCGCCAGCTCCATACATAGATGCATCTGTTGCGCCACGCGCTTGTTGACATACCAGCCTGCGCGCATGCGAACGGCACTACACAGCAAGGTGCGCACTTACATGCATGGGCATGCTCGTGTGATCCAGGCGACAGCGGCCTGGCCTGCCACGTCGCCAGGCCACGGCCCGCGGAGAGTAATTGAACCACGCAATGTAATAAAAGTGTAGCAATGAAGCGCGTATGGGCAGGGATACACCACCCGTCTCGTTCCCACAGCTGCTCGTCACGCGCACACACTGTGTTTGGGGTCAAACAAGTGGCGGCCAGCCCCTGTGAACTTCATCAGTGAGTGAAATGACATGATCAGTGGTGTTCCGCGTTTCGAGTTTTTTTTGCATAGAATGTTGTTGCAGTACAGCTGCGAGCCTACCAGCACGACCAAATCACCAGTGCGTCGCGTCAGCAGGTTGAGCAGCTGCACCAGGTCAGCAGCCAGGTGGGTGCGAAACCGACAACGAGTTCAGCAGTGACCGCTGCGCCGTCGCTAAAGTAGTGCCGCAAAGATCGGAACGCAACACGCGCTTAACAATCCCGGCAGGCCATTAAACGGTCCTAGTAACACAGATCGCGATCAAGCAAGGTGCGTGCTTGGTTACGATGAGTCGCAGGTCCATGCATTTCAGCATTGATGACGACCTGCACCCTGCAGGAAAACATGGCGTGCGTCGCAGCCGCCATTGCGGCACTGCTGCTGATCGTGACGCTGTCAGTATCCGCCTCTGCGGCCCCAAGCCCCATTGCGCCCAGTAAGCAAATTTCCCCACTACAGGCAGCACGCGCCGGCCCGAGCTCCTATAGATGAATTGCGTTTGTGCTGTCGAGTGTCGCTGCAGTGGGCCGTCCTGCGGACGTCACCAAGGCACTGAGCCAAACTCCTCTGCGAGCAGCGAGCGATCCAGCTGGAAAGGGCAATGCGGCGATGCGCTCCTTTCCACATCGGCGCACCCGCTCCTCTCCACCACTCCCTCTTACTCCATCCCAGCCTGGGCGTGCGGCAAGCTCACTGACTACTACGCTAAGGTGGGCCGAGGCGGCGATGCTGCGTGCCTCGGCAGCTGCACGCCGGCTGCCGGCCGCATGCGGCTGCAACCGCATGTCTGCTACTTGGCAGCTGCTGTAGGCTGGCCCCGAACATGCTCTTTCCACCGCTGTAGCCAGCCCCTAGGCAGCCCTTCAGGCCCTCTCCCTGGCTTGTGTGGGCGCCCCAAAACCCCTCAGGTCACCATAGAGTGCCCGTCTGCCGATTGTAACGCCGCTCAGCGCAACCTGGGCGGAGACTTGCTCGTCTTGGACATCAAGAGCTACGGCAACAAGCAGTGCCAGGTCGGCACCACCTGATGAGCAAGCCGCACGCCTTGGCCGCACGGAGCTTGAGTAATTTGCGCCTGCTCAGGCACATCGCTTGCATGCACCAACAGTCACCATGCCCTCGTTGCACCCTCGTGGATCGCCGCGGCCCTGTTGCTCTCTCTTACGACGCCCATCATGCAGGGCTGCAACCCGTCCATACCCAGCACCTGCTGCCAGGTGGATGTGTTGACTTTGGGCCTGGTTTCAATAGCTGGCCTGCTCGGAGTACTGCCTGGATGGCGCATATGATCTGTACTCGGTCTGAGTCTGCTGCGGACGCCGCGTGTCTGGACGGCTGGCATACATGCGGACAGACCTCACCTGCACCCCCCCCCCCTTTAACGCAATGACCGCCGCCTGCAGGCTTGCAAGGACCTTGACGGCTGCAACGCATGGGTTGTTTGCACCAATAAGGTGAGGTTAACAACGGATGTGTATATAAGCTGTGCCAGTTCCAACTGGCAGGGGACAGCCTGGTAGCTAGTCGCATCCCATGCGCACCGCGTCACATCCCAAAACTTCCACCCAAGCGCTGCTCGGTCTGAGATTACGTGCACGCGCATCTCATGCAGACCTGCAAGCATCACAGCTGTCCCTTGACCCCATGCCCCGCTTGTACGTGCCCCGCTTGTCAGGAGGGTTGCGGCACCGGCTGCAAGGACTATGCCAAGGGCTTCAAGGTGCCCCAGAGCTACGATGACAAGCTGCCCCACAAATTCTGGGGCAACTGGGGCTCCTGCCAGGTGCAACAACTCGTGTGTTCGTGTGGAAAAGCTGCCCAGGGGGGGAGTTCACCAGCATGTGGCGGGCTGCATGGAGCCACCACATGCATACGAATGTGCCCAAGGAGCCGCCGTGGCTTGGCATCCCTGCACGCACTCATGATTGGCGGGCGCTCACTTCCACCAAAAGCGTCGTATGGCTCAACGTGTCACTCCTGCCGCTTGTGGACCGGCTACTTGTTGTGGTCACCAGGGCGACAAATGGCCGTTTGGCATGTGCTCCCTCAAGACCATCACAGACACCAAGGCGCCCCCTGTCACCGGCACCAGTGAGTACACAATTATTTTTTAGCTTCTGTTGACACCTCCCTGGCATGAATTGCTGTGTGCCGCCTGCTTCCTGTCTCAGATGCCCTCTCGCACCCGCCGGCAGCCTACAGGCAACGCCACACTCACATAACAGTTCCTCTCTATGCTTTGGTCTCACGCAGACGCGGCTGACGGCTGGGTGTCTGGCATCATCACACAGGTCGCCCTCAGCCCCAAGTGCCCTCCCTTCTTCTCCAACAAAACTTGCGCGGCCTGCCTTGCCTCAAAGAACCCGCCCATCTGCTTTGATTGCATTAAGAAGGCCAAGACACTGGACGCCCCCTTCAAGTGCACGACCTGTGCGAGCCTACCGACAGCCGCAGGCCAGGCCGCGTGCGTCACGTGCGCGGCGACGTCCGGCGACGACTGCAAGAGGTGCCTGGACGCGGACTGTTCCGACACCACCTGCATGAACGCGCGCATGGAGAGCGCCTCCAAGGCGCCAAACCTGGCGTCTGTCGACCAGTGCTTTGCGTGCCAGTCCGCTGCCAAGGGCGCGGCCTGCCCCAAGTGCTTCGAGTCGTACAGCGTGCCCAAGGCCAACCGCGCGGGCTGCCTGGCCTGCGTCGCGTCCAGCGCGCCGGCTGCCGCCGTGGGCTGCGCGGGCTGCCACGGCGAGAGGGTCGAGGATCGGAAGGGCTGCTCCGACTGCCTGAAAAGGGCGCCCACCGCAGGCGCAGCCAGCGCCTGCGGCTCCTGCAGCGACCGCGGCAGCGTCCCTGCCACTCACACTGCGGCGTGCATCGACTGCGCCGTCAAGTCGGCGTCGGATGACGCCAGGGGCTACTGCAGCAACCTGGAGCGCGAGACGTCTAAGGAGGCGGTCGCAGCCTTTTACAGGTGCCTGCTGACAGCCAAAAGCGGGGACACTGCAAGCAGCTGCTGGCAGTGCCACAGGTGCGGTGTGTGAATGTGCCAAGGGGCGTGGTCCCGGGGTGTGTTTTGGGGGGGCGGGGGAGGGCTGACAGCAACATCTGGAGGCTCAGCATGGCGGTTACCACGGCATGGCTGCCAAGTAGTAGCTGCAGAAGGCTTGACTTGCGCATTCATCCAGGCTGAGGCGGGAGACTTCCATGCCATCAAACCATCCACACTGGAGCTGTGCAAGCCCCTCTCCACACGGATGCCACATACCACAATCATGCATGCACGTGCAAGTGCGCGTGCACATGCACACTGACTACACATCAGAGCCCCAATCACACTCAATTCTACTCGTGTTTGAACACACAGGAACGGCGTCAACCCTGCCGTGTACAATGGCTGCTACCAGTGCGTGTCCAAGGTTTCAGCGCCAAACGGCATCCACTGCAGCCACTGCTGGAGCGCAGACCGCGTCAAGGCCAAGACGGCGGACAAGTGTGAGGCGTGCGTACTCTCCAAGGACAAGGCAAAGGGCGAGGCCTCCAGCTGCTGGTCGTGAAATTCTGCATCTTCGAACAGGCGACCTGAGGGTGTTGGTCAAATGCAGGCTTCATCACCCTTCTTCCAACAAGCTAGGTCGCAATGCGGGGTGAGGCAGGCACCTGCGGCTGCACATCGCGCCTGGAAAACATCATGCTCAGCAGACACTATCTAAACACATGGCAAGCAACCTCGGCTGCTCCTGAGTTGCTGGTTCTATACGCGGCGCGCAACAGCTAATCGTCGCCGCTTGTGTCGAATTTGAGCCCAGTTGCCTCGGCCAACTGGGTCTGGCTTTTTGTGGACGCCTTTGCAATTGTGTCCTGCACCCCACTGTAGGGGGCTAAAACCCCCTCTGATGTGAATGCTACCGGCTGGAGAGGGGCGCCTTGAATTTCGACCCAACAGTTGCATCGCCTTCAACCCTAGCTGCCACTGATTCAGAAAGCAACTCTCCTCTCAAGCACCCGCACGAACTTGTCTTGGATTTGCACAGTAGACAATGGACTTGATTTTGCTTGCAACACCAAAAGCTTTGCCTGAGCGTTCGGCGAACGTGGCATGAAGCTGCGCACCTGGCCCCCAACCCGCACACCTGTCTCTGTTCTCATGTGCTGGCTGCAGGCTGGGGTGCCGCATGCATGCATAAGGCACTCAAAGGGCCTCGTCTTGCACCAGTCTTCATGGTGAGCATGTAAAAACATCCTTTCACCTCTATTGACAGCTCGAGGGCGTGCATCACTTGCTGTTCACTTCATCGTAGTGGGCTGGAGAGGAATGTGTACATGTGAGGGCACAGCTGGGGCATGGGCTGCTCACACCAGCTATACAAGCAGGGAGGAATCCGCCGCCACTACGAAGATGGTAAGTGCCAGTGAGCAACGCGCCGGTACGTGCACAGGAATCAATCATGGTGCACAAAGGGCTAGGGAGGTTGAGCCTCGGGTGTGAAGACTGAACACTGTGGACCAGATGTTGACTGAGCAGGTGACCCGGTCGTGGCGGGCCCCTGCCGGCGGCGGAGCGCGGGAGGGGTAGTTAAGGCCTCTTCAAATGCCGTCCGCTGGCAAGCAACACGTTCAGGACGCTCGGGACACACCTGATGCGAAGCTGCAGTGTCACGTGGCCCATGAATAATGAGCAGGTCGCATTGCGCCTCAACGTCATTGGCATTTTGTACGTTTCTTATCGGTCCGCTTTAGCCTCAGGCTGTGGGGTGATCTCTCATCTAGCGCTGATCGGCCTGACAACGCACTTGCGGGAGAATGGCGCTCACTGGACTTGCTGGCGGGCGTGGTCAAGCAATCAGGGGCCCGAGGATGGCTACGAACAGCCACCAAGGGGCCACTCGCAGGGTATGCAGCCCAGCACAGCATGCGCGCCTGGCGTCTCGCCGCACCTGCCGCACTCAAGCTACGCTTGAAGCCAGCAAGGTACGTTAGGATGCAAGCGTGATATTGGATGGCAGAATCCTGGCCCATAGCGCAGCCTAAAGCGTTGCGGCCCGCTCAACGACGATCGATGGCTCAACTTTGCACCCTCAGCGTGTGCAGCCCGCCGTCGAGCTATCAACAACATGGCACGCTCGCGCCACATCACCCCCCGTCCCTCCAGTCCTTGTCGCGCACGGAGCACAACCAGGCTCAGGCTGCAGTGTTTGACCGGCCAGAGATAGTTGAAGAGTTCACGCAGCCCTTGCCTCCTGAGATCGAGCAGGTCCGGCTGGGAAAGGAGGGCGGGGTGCGGGGGCAGGGCTGAATGTTGAGCAGCAACATGGGAGGCAGCAGGGATGATGGCGCCCCTTGGTGCCAGTGGAAGCACGGTGGGAATAACAGAGGTCCAGAGGCACCCACGCTGCCTGATTGCGTTGGACATGCAGGTGTGATTAAGGTCTTGGCCCTGTAACCACCCCAAAATGACTGTCCGCCTGCCTGCCACCCGTGCCCGCCCCGCTTTTGTCCCCCACCCGCAGCGCCTGGCAGCGATCGTGAATGCAGTGCCCGGCCTGGGCCCCGAATCGCGCGTCATCGACGCCGGCTGCGGCACCGGCTGCCTCATCCCTCACCTGCGGGTGCGATGCGCAGCGCGCCAACTGCCGGCTGTCGTCAGGGGCCGGGGGCGGCCGCTGCCGCTGCCGCACGCGTCCCTGGAAACCCTGCCCGACAGCGCAGCCGCACATCCATCCGCAGCGTGCTGCCTGTCTCTTCACCAACATGTGCTCTCACTCTCGCTCGCATCTCCCACCGCCCTGAAGCGCCCTCCTGGTTCCGGCCCCCCACGCTTGACCCTCACCTGTGCGCATCCGCAGGCCAGGGGTGTCAGCGACATCGTGGCGGTCGACGTGTCATCAGCGATGCTCCAGAAGGTGGAGGAGCGCTACGGCAGCCCAGGCGTCCTCGGCAACAACACGGGTGCGCCGCACGCGCCGACGCCACTGCTGCTGCCGCTACTGCACTCAGCTCTGTGTGCTCGGCTCTGCGTGCCGCCTGCCGAGCGGCGCCCACGCGTATCGTGCTGTCGGTCGCGCGCTTCCGTGGTTTGCCGCCTCAATACTTGCCTGGCACAGGCAGGCAAACACGCACAGGCGGCCCTCGAGCTGCTCGCAACAACCTTCGCCTCACCTCAGCCC